TTGACTGAGGATTTGTTTAAACATGCCCATACCTGCAAAAAGCAGGTACCAAGTCTGCGGGAGTACATCTAGGGACAACTCCTCTCTGATCCTTCGCCTGAGGGAGAAAGGGAGGACATGAGCCATCAGGCAACCCGTGGACAGGATTCACAGTTTTCCAAAGTTGATGAGAAGAGTGTTTGCGGTTGTAGGTTTGAGAGAGATTGTGATTTGATATTGGGGGGCCGTGGTAGTTTGGTTGAAACGTCTTCGTTAAACAACAATTCTTTTGAAGGGACACACACAAGACCGAGCAGCAGCGAGAGCCCAAGCCTATTTGGTGTGAACGTATCGTCGCCGACGTCCGAGCCTCAGCCTCACCATGGTCAGCCAGATGAAACGTGCCGACCTGATCGCAGCCCTCGAAGAGCTGGGGGAATCTCCTCCAGGACGCTGGACTGTGACAGAGATGCGCAGCCGACTGATGCACCTGCACGAGGAACATGGCATCGTGCTGGGCAAGACCAAGCGCACCTCACTTCAGGAAATGGTGGTTCAGCTGAACAAGGCCAGTGGTCGAAAGGCCAACCTCCAACAACACTGCCAGGACTTGGGAGTGCCCTTCACGGGCAACGAGACCAAGGCCCAACTCCAGAAGTCCGCCATGATCCGCATCTACGAGAAGAGTGCCCCGGACCCTACCGACCCGGTGGGATTTGAGAAGGGAGCGTCCCTCACCTATGCCGAAATCAAGGAGGATCAGCAGTACTGCAACTGGGTGAAGCTCACATGGCAGGAGAACCCAAAATCCTGCTGCCCTCAGCTGGCACGCCTTGCCCAGTGGCTGTTGAACGAGAATGTCAAGATGGAACCGGACGAGAACCCCAAGACCTCAAAGGGTTACCCGAGCGAGCCCGACCTGAAGGTCATCTCTCTCAAGAAAGAACCATCACGCGCCGCCAGCAGCAGCGCTGCCAGCAGCAGTGTGCCCTCCTCAGCGATTGTCGATGTTCTCCAGACCTTGACCGAGACGGTGAAGGAGCTGAAGGACGAGATCCAAGATGCCAAGGAAGGGAAGCGCAAGGGTCAGAAGACCAGCTCGGACTCCGAGAGTTTCCACAAGATCTGAGCGCACCCGGCTTAGACCTCAGCCCGGAACCTAGCATAGCTTCCGTCACTGAGCCTAGCACAGTACGACATGTGTTGCCAGAGGACACTGCTAAACAGTTAGAGCGAGATTCACATGGTTTTGCTCCGAAGTTGTTTCAAGATCTTTTTCAACAAAAACGAACTGTTTTGATGGAAGTGGCCTGCAGTCCCAATAGTGTTTTGAGCTCAGAAGTCCAACGACAGTTGGGCTATTCGGAAGCCGCCGTTCGCTGTTCGATATGGAACGGGTGTGACTTAACCCAGAGTGATGGAGTGAAACTTGTGACACAACAAATTGACCAATTGCAACCGCTCCACATCTGGATTGCAACGGAATGCGGTCCTTTCTCCCCAATGCAAAACCTGAACCAACGCACGGAAGCTCAACGAGCTGAACTTGAGAAAAAGAGAAAGGACGCCTTGAGACAATACATCGGAGCCGCTTGCATTTGGCATTATGCCGTTCAGCGAGGAATCCATGTTTCATGGGAGTGGGCGCATAAATGTCACGCGTGGCGGCTGCCACTGATCCAAGAGTTGACCCGTCGGTATCAACCCTGGTTCTCCACCACCAATGGGTGTCAGGTGAATTTACGGGACCCCAAAACCACGAAACTGATCCATAAGGGCTGGAAGGTGATGACGACCCACCAAAGACTTTCCAAACTTTTGGATTTGCCTTGTAGGTGCCAGAAGGGAACTCACGCCCCCTGTGAAGGACAACTCACTCAACAAAGTGCGTTTTACACCGTCGAGTTCGCGAAGCGCGTGTGTTTGGCGGTGACTCATGAACTGACCCATGCGATGCTGATTCAGGAGATGGAAGGAAATACCTATTTACCTGTTGGTTTTGGTTCTGGGTCTGTTTGTGTTTGTGGCATGTTGGAAAAACATGGGTATAAACAACAGTGCGGGTCATGCATGGAGGTCTCCTTTCTGAAACTCACCCTGAACGAGACGGAAACCGAGCCGAACTGTGAACAGGCTTGGGTCCAAACGCAAACAAAAGGGAACATGGGAAAAGGGAAACCCGACGAACATGTCAAACGACAGTTGTATCAGCTTCATGCCGCTACTGGCCATGGTAGTATTCGACACATGGTTGAGGCTCTGAAGAAACGGGGTGCGCCCGAATATGTGTTGAATTTGGCCCGTGATTTTAGGTGTCATATTTGTGATGAAAGGCATAAGGTGACGCATAAGCATGTCGCTTCGCTCGAGCCCTTGCCGCCCAAGTGGGCAACCGTGAGTGCGGATGGGGGACACTGGATCCACCCTCAAACTGGTGAACATGTTGAATTTGCTTTGATCATTGATGAGGGATCTCAGTTTCGAGTCGGTCGCATCATGTGTCGTGGGAAACACAAAACCATGAAGGCTAGCCATTTTCTGGCCTACCTTCAAGAAGGATGGTGCCAATATTTCGGCGTGCCACAGACACTCAGGCTTGATCCTGCCGGAGCGTTCCGTAGCAACGAAGTTGAACAGTTTTGTGACCGCCATGGAGTGTACTTGGATTTCATCCCAGGAGAAGCACACTGGAAGCTGGGAACATGTGAACAAGCAATTCAGGGAGTGAAAGAACTCATGACCAAGTTGACGCTCGAAGAACCGGAGCTTTCAGCTGAGGCTGCCCTCGCTGAAGCAATTCGAATGTTCAACACAAGAGACTTGGTTCGTGGTTTTTCCCCTATACAACATGCTCTAGGTAGGGCCCCCGATGAGGTAGGACGATGCATACAGACATTGACTGGACAATCCATCGAACATCTCCTACCACCAGCAGGACCAGACCATGTGGAGAGCATTGACCGCATGCGCAAAGCAGAGCAAATACATGCACAATGGACAGCGCAGCAGAGGATCAACAAAGCACTCAACTCAAGAGGCAACCGACAGTTGAACTACTACCCTGGAGATCTGGTGTATTACTGGAGGAAACAGGTGTCAGGTAGTCATTCAGGTCAACAACGACAGAAACAAGGATGCTTCTTGGGACCCGGTCGAATTTTGGCCACAGAAACTCATCGAGAAACTGATGGTACACTTCGAAAGGGAAGCAACATCTGGGTGATTCGAGGACGACGTCTTATCAAGTGTTGTCCAGAACAGTTGAGACACGCGACACAGAGAGAAGAGCTTTTAGAACATCTTACACAGGAAGAAGACCTCAAAGCACCCTGGACATTCCAGCGACTGACAGCAGGACTAGGTGGCAATGAGTTTGAAGACATCACACAGGAGGTGCCCACAGAGACTCAGTGGCAAGAGGACCAAGACGAGCCCATGCCACCAGCCCCTCGTGAGGCGGGACAACCTAGATACCGTGTCCTGGGCAAACGTATCGGAGAAGGACCAGAACGAGCTCTTCCAGAACCAACACGACAGAAACGGGGAGGAGCTCAACTGGAAGATGCGTTAGTGACTCAGGAACCATGGTATGAAAAGACAGCCACAGAAAGTCGTCTCGAAGCTCACGGAGAGTGTTTTTGGGCCGAGGACAACACCGCTGTGGAGATGGACATACAACTTCCACAAAGCAAACGGCAGTGGCAAGAGTTCATACAAGACCCAGGCTGCTATTTTGTTGGCGCCCTCAAACGAAGGGCAGTTGAGGTCAATGAAAAGAAGTTGACAAAAGAAGATTGGGAAAAGTTCCAAGAAGCCAAAGGAGTGGAAGTGAAGAACTATATAGCAGCCCGTGCCTTTGAAGCCCTTCCCCCAGACATGAGACCACCGCGGGAGAAGGCCATCAAGATGAGATGGTTATTGACGTGGAAGTTGAAAGACGATGGTACACACAAAGCAAAAGCCCGGGCAATACTCCTGGGATACCAAGACCCCGGTTATGAAGAGCGTGAGACAACATCACCCGTGATGACCCGACAATCCCGACAGTTCCTGTTAGCAGCAGCAGGTCGCTATGGATGGCAGGTAAAAAAGGGAGATGTGACAGGTGCTTTTTTACAAGGAAGAACCTATCCCCAAGAGCTCTACTGCATTCCGGTACCGGAAATATGTGGTGCCATGGGATTGGAGGAAAACAGTGTCACTCGTGTACGTCGAGGATGTTACGGATTAGTTGATGCACCACTGGAATGGTACAGGACAGTGAGCGCATTTTTAGACTCCCTGGGATTGGTTAAGTCATGGGCAGACCCATGTACCTGGCTCTGGAAACCTGAAGGTGTTCTTCAAGGAATGATCTCAGGCCATGTGGACGATTTTCTATTCGCTGGACCACAGCAGGACAAAGCATGGCAGCAACTGGAAGCAACCATACAACAACACTTCAAATGGACAGATTGGGAGGAAAACAAGTTTGTTCAATGTGGAGTATTGGTTGAGCGCCAGTCTGACGGATCCTTCCACTTGAGCCAAAAAGCCTATGTTGAAAAGATCCCAGAGATTTTTCTGAATGCAACCAGGAAAAAGGAACTCACCAGTGAAACTACAGAACGTGAGAAGTCACAACTGCGTGCTACACTGGGAGCCTTGAGCTGGATGGCCCAGCAAACTGCACCACATGTGTCCGCCGAAGTGGGACTTCTTCTGTCCGAAGTATGTCGAAGTACAGTGGAAACCATTGTCAAGACCAATCAGCTTGTGCATTTTGCCAAAGCACACAAAGACCATAGACTGGTCATACATGCAATTCCAGCCCACATTCCAGTGGGTATGTTTACATGGTGCGATGCTACAGGCCAAAACAGACAGGACGGCAGCAGCACCCAGGGACTTTTCGTGTGTTTAGGACCCCTTTCCCTTCTTGACGGTCAGGTTGATAAGGTGATTCCCATTGCTTGGCACTCCAATAAAATTGACAAACAGTGCCGTAGCCCTGGAGCAGCAGAAGGACGTGCTGCAGTGGCTGGAGAAGATCACATGTACCACGCAAGATTTCAATGGGGGGGAAATGATGAATGCACAAGTGAACATTTTTGATGTCGACTCGATCGTTCGCAGTGTTCCCGGATGCCTCATATCGGACAGCCGAAACGTCTACGACAAACTTCAAACTACCGAATTGACCATCCGAGGCGCCGAGAAAAAGATAGATTTAGAACTGTTGCGCTTGAAGCATTCTCAACGAGAAACTAAGGTGAACCTGCGCTGGGTTCATAGCGAAGCCCAGTTGGGCAACAGCTTGACTAAGGGAAAAAACTAAGGAACTTCAAATGTTCTACAACTTAGGTTTTCGATGGAGATTGGTAACCGATGATCACATGAGAAGTGCTCGGAAACGACGGCTACAAGGTCTTGATGCACTACAAGAACAGCCGCAGCAGAACAGCAAAGAACCACAGTTCAACCCTTCAAAAGAATAGTGTGTTGTGCTGGTTGTTGTTGGTTCCTGGTTCCTTCTTTTCTTCTTCTTGGTTCGGTCGCTCCTTGTTTGGGTGTGTTTCGTGTTTTGTTTAATCAACTTGGAAAACATCTACCGAGGGTAGGGGGGATGCAAGTGACAAGCACTTGAGTCGGTTGAACACCAATTAGGTCCAACCGCCAGTACATTCAGGTTCGAGGAAAACGGCGAGCGTTTTGAGAGACACCGCATAGCCGTGTCAAGTTCGCATTTGTCGCCATCGGTTCCTCCGGATTGACTTGGGCATCCTACGCCACCTCTCGGCCATCCCAGTTGGATGGTAGCGCGGAGCCTTTGAGCTTTGCTTCCAGGGACCTTCGCTTTTTTGTAGCTGAACTCGCCAGGACCAGTTCAGAGAACAACAGGGATGACCTCGACCGAGATCCACCGGTCGAAAGATGGTGTGCCGCAGTGGGATGGGGACTCCGTGAGTTTCCAAGACTATGAAGAACAAGCTCTCCAGTGGGAACAGGGTATCCCATACCACAAAAGATACTTAGCTGGACCCAAACTAGTGGCAGAACTGAGTGGGCCCGCCAGAAGGTATGTGATGGGGAAGAGGCCGCAATGGTTGTCATTCAATGGGGGTGTCCTCCACTTACTACAACACCTCCGAGAATGCTTGGGAAGGCCAACGATCCCCGAAACGACAGAGTACCTGAACAAGTACTTCCGCCATAGTCGAAGACGACGATTTGAGAACATGAACACCTACATCACCCGCAAGGTGGAAGTCTATCATCGAGCCCGACAGTCGCTCGCCCGGGTACAGCAGTTCTTTGGGAAACATCACAGAGATCACCGTGAACATGAGTGGCAGCAGCGCCGTTGGAGCCAATCTTCATGGGATGATTGGCAGGGCACCAACTGGCAACGTCAGCCAGACCAGGAAGAACACGATGAGGAGGAGCAATGGTATGATCCTCCGAGTGAGGCACCGGATGCACCTTCGTGGCACCAGTCACAAACCAGCTATGGCTATGGGTACAACCCCGTGGATGATGAGCCATGGAAGCTGAACACCGATGAGCTCCTGCCGGAGTTTCTTCAAGGCTGGTACTTACTGGCTGACGCCGGTCTTGACAGTACCGAAAAGAACATGATCCAAACAGCAACCCAAGAGGATTTTTCGGTGCAGCGAGTGGCAAAAGAACTGCGGTTGCAGTGGCCTGATGAGGAACTTAAGAAGCGAGACCAACAGGCCAAGCATGCTGGGTTTTGGGCTGATGAGCCGGAGGCTACCAGCCTACCTCCTGAAGCAGACCTACTCGAAGATGCATGGTGGCTTCACGACCTGACTGGGGAAGGTCAGGCCTTGTTCAATGCCGCGGAAGAACGGGCTCAGGAGGCGTTCGCTTTGATTGAGCAAGGACGTCGCACACTCAAAGAAGCCCGAGCACGCCAGCATCAGGCGAAGCTCTCCCGCCAGTACTACAAGACCACCTTTCGACGTGGAGGGGGAGATCCACCTCGTCACGATCGCCACAGCTATGCCCCAAGAGGAGATGGAGCCCAAGGTGTCACTTGCCTGCGTTGTGGCAAAGGACATAGAACCTCAGAGTGTCCTGAGAAGCCTCAGGATCAGAAGAACCAAGGACATGTGACCATTACCGAAGAGGCACCCTTCTTTTGCTTCACCGAGGAGGCCCTGACCGTCAACGGCCTCGACACTGCACGCACTACCCAGGAAGCCGTTCTTGCTGGCTGTGCAGTGATTGACGGTGGAGCTACAAAGACGTTGGGCAGTGTAGCTGCCATTCAGGCAGTCATGGATCAGAACTTGGGAAAGCACGGCGAAAGCCGCATCCAAGCCGTCGATCCTCAGAACCAACCACAGTTCGGATTCGGAAATGGTTCACAAGACAAGTGCATCTCCACCACTCAGTTGAAGGTGACAGCCAATGACCGGCCTGGCGCACTCCAGATCCATGCTTTGGATCGAGGCCAAGGGCCAATCCTGCTGTCCATTCAGACCCTGCGAGCCTCGAAGGCCGTGATCGACTTTGATGAAGACCTTCTTGTACTGAGAGGCTTGGATGCCACCAAAGTGATCCCCTTAGAGAGGTCAGCCGCGGGACATCAGCTCCTGCCGTTGACTGAGGATTTGTTTAAACATGCCCATACCTGCAAAAAGCAGGTACCAAGTCTGCGGGAGTACATCTAGGGACAACTCCTCTCTGATCCTTCGCCTGAGGGAGAAAGGGAGGACATGAGCCATCAGGCAACCCGTGGACAGGATTCACAGTTTTCCAAAGTTGATGAGAAGAGTGTTTGCGGTTGTAGGTTTGAGAGAGATTGTGATTTGATATTGGGGGGCCGTGGTAGTTTGGTTGAAACGTCTTCGTTAAACAACAATTCTTTTGAAGGGACACACACAAGACCGAGCAGCAGCGAGAGCCCAAGCCTATTTGGTGTGAACGTATCGTCGCCGACGTCCGAGCCTCAGCCTCACCATGGTCAGCCAGATGAAACGTGCCGACCTGATCGCAGCCCTCGAAGAGCTGGGGGAATCTCCTCCAGGACGCTGGACTGTGACAGAGATGCGCAGCCGACTGATGCACCTGCACGAGGAACATGGCATCGTGCTGGGCAAGACCAAGCGCACCTCACTTCAGGAAATGGTGGTTCAGCTGAACAAGGCCAGTGGTCGAAAGGCCAACCTCCAACAACACTGCCAGGACTTGGGAGTGCCCTTCACGGGCAACGAGACCAAGGCCCAACTCCAGAAGTCCGCCATGATCCGCATCTACGAGAAGAGTGCCCCGGACCCTACCGACCCGGTGGGATTTGAGAAGGGAGCGTCCCTCACCTATGCCGAAATCAAGGAGGATCAGCAGTACTGCAACTGGGTGAAGCTCACATGGCAGGAGAACCCAAAATCCTGCTGCCCTCAGCTGGCACGCCTTGCCCAGTGGCTGTTGAACGAGAATGTCAAGATGGAACCGGACGAGAACCCCAAGACCTCAAAGGGTTACCCGAGCGAGCCCGACCTGAAGGTCATCTCTCTCAAGAAAGAACCATCACGCGCCGCCAGCAGCAGCGCTGCCAGCAGCAGTGTGCCCTCCTCAGCGATTGTCGATGTTCTCCAGACCTTGACCGAGACGGTGAAGGAGCTGAAGGACGAGATCCAAGATGCCAAGGAAGGGAAGCGCAAGGGTCAGAAGACCAGCTCGGACTCCGAGAGTTTCCACAAGATCTGAGCGCACCCGGCTTAGACCTCAGCCCGGAACCTAGCATAGCTTCCGTCACTGAGCCTAGCACAGTACGACATGTGTTGCCAGAGGACACTGCTAAACAGTTAGAGCGAGATTCACATGGTTTTGCTCCGAAGTTGTTTCAAGATCTTTTTCAACAAAAACGAACTGTTTTGATGGAAGTGGCCTGCAGTCCCAATAGTGTTTTGAGCTCAGAAGTCCAACGACAGTTGGGCTATTCGGAAGCCGCCGTTCGCTGTTCGATATGGAACGGGTGTGACTTAACCCAGAGTGATGGAGTGAAACTTGTGACACAACAAATTGACCAATTGCAACCGCTCCACATCTGGATTGCAACGGAATGCGGTCCTTTCTCCCCAATGCAAAACCTGAACCAACGCACGGAAGCTCAACGAGCTGAACTTGAGAAAAAGAGAAAGGACGCCTTGAGACAATACATCGGAGCCGCTTGCATTTGGCATTATGCCGTTCAGCGAGGAATCCATGTTTCATGGGAGTGGGCGCATAAATGTCACGCGTGGCGGCTGCCACTGATCCAAGAGTTGACCCGTCGGTATCAACCCTGGTTCTCCACCACCAATGGGTGTCAGGTGAATTTACGGGACCCCAAAACCACGAAACTGATCCATAAGGGCTGGAAGGTGATGACGACCCACCAAAGACTTTCCAAACTTTTGGATTTGCCTTGTAGGTGCCAGAAGGGAACTCACGCCCCCTGTGAAGGACAACTCACTCAACAAAGTGCGTTTTACACCGTCGAGTTCGCGAAGCGCGTGTGTTTGGCGGTGACTCATGAACTGACCCATGCGATGCTGATTCAGGAGATGGAAGGAAATACCTATTTACCTGTTGGTTTTGGTTCTGGGTCTGTTTGTGTTTGTGGCATGTTGGAAAAACATGGGTATAAACAACAGTGCGGGTCATGCATGGAGGTCTCCTTTCTGAAACTCACCCTGAACGAGACGGAAACCGAGCCGAACTGTGAACAGGCTTGGGTCCAAACGCAAACAAAAGGGAACATGGGAAAAGGGAAACCCGACGAACATGTCAAACGACAGTTGTATCAGCTTCATGCCGCTACTGGCCATGGTAGTATTCGACACATGGTTGAGGCTCTGAAGAAACGGGGT